ACTGTTTGCAATTCTGTGTAAAGATATTCGTGGAAATCCGAATCTGAAGTTTTGGAATAGAATAAGATCACACTTGTATGACTCTTCCAAAATCTAACCATTCATAAGGTTACATATGAAATTCTGGCATTACTCAAATACTGAAATATAATCCAAGAGATACAGGCAAAATATGCAATAAACGAACGGGGACTGGCAGTGCTAACAGTGTGGTGGATTCAATTTGCATCACTTTCACTGTTGTATCAACGAAAGAACTTGAATATTCATACACTCAAATTACATATTTTGCAATGATGACAATCCTATCTAACATGCCCAGTTCTTGATGGCACAACTTTTTTTCCTGAATAGGATATACATTTGGCTATACAGCACTTTGTGTTTTCCCTTCAAATACAAATTAACAATTATGTACATCAAGCATATTCTGATGCAAATCTCACCTCTGGAGGTGATTAATTAACCAGGGCAGTTTCAGGCACATACCAGTCCAATCTGGTGGCAGGGTTATTACCAAATTACTAAATACTGCTGAATCTTGTGCATTATTTTCCATTTAATGAGTTTGAGAGAAGAAAGTTTATTAATTATACTTCTGTGTATGCAAAGGAAATGAGAAAGATCTCCTGCAATGGGAACTGCCCTATTTAATGTAGCATGATAAAAAAAAGTTTACTCAATTGGTACACAAATTACACACTTGGCCTTCACCATGTTTCTCTATCCTGTGCCAGTCTGTACATTCTGAAGACATTCCTTCAATTCTCGAGCTACCCAGCATTGATATTCTTTTTCTCTTTGTTTCTTTCAAACCTACCCTCCATAATGTTATTATATAGTGTCCTATATAGTCTGTCTTAATAATGTTCAGCAAATTTCTTTGTTTCTTCACTCACCTTAGCATGTTATCAGTTGTTACTTTTTAAGCTAGTCCTTTCCATTCTCCTCCAAACCCACATTTTAAAGCCGTTTAGCAAATTCATCTCTTCTTTGATTAAGGCATGTGTCTCACATCCATACAAAACAACACTGAATCAAACTTGTCATAAGTTGCAAAGTTGTTTACTAAGCTTTTTGGTTAGTTAGTGCTTTTGCTTGCTAAATACAGTCTTTCCTATTGCATTCATTGTATTTATTTCTTTGTTGTACCTTCCATTTGCAGATATAATGCTTTCCAAATATTTGAAAATTCTTACACTTATTTCAGTCCTTTTCCTTTTATGTCTTGGTGCTTTAGAGATAAGCATAATTTTGAAATGAAAGTGAACTTCTGTAAAACCTAAGTTCAAGCTTGCTGTAATTAGTTTATGTACTAGATTTGAATCCTCCTTCCGTGTTTCCTATGAGACATGGTTAAGGCTATGAGCCAAAAATCTAACTTCATTGAATGATGACTAGAAGCAAGCAAGCTTTCTGCTCGATCAATCAAAAGAAATAGGAACAGGAGTAGGCTGTTTGGCCCTTTGAGCCTACTCTGCCATTTAATATGATCATGGTTGATCCGACATTCCTCATGTCCATTTTCCTCGTTTTCCTCACATTCCTCGAATCTTTTTTTGCCTTATATATAGACACGGACTCTGCTCCCACACCTCTACGGTAATGAGTTCTAAACACACACAACCCTCTGGGAAAAGTAATTCCTCCTCATCACACTCTTAAGTTGGCACTCCTTTATTCTGAGACTATATCCTCTGGTCCTAGCCTCCACTGTGAGGGAAACATTCTCTCAGCCTTTACCCTTTTTAGCACCTTAAGAAATTCATATGTTTCAATGAGATTCTTCTATAATCCAGTGGTTAGAATCTCAACCTCTTTAGTCTTTGCTTATAAGACAATCCTTCCTTACCTGGGATCATCTAGTGAACTTTCTCTGAACTGCCTCCAATGAAATAATATCTTTTCTTAAATAAGGGCACCAAAACTGTGCATAGTACTTCAGATGTAGTCTCATCAGTACCGAGTACAGTTGCAATAAGACTTCCTCACTCACTGTTATACTTCAACCCCTTTGAGAAATAAGGGCCAACATTCCATTAGCCTTCCTGATTACTTGCTGCATCTGTGTATATACCAGCTTTGTGTTTTGTGCACAGATCACCCACAGTCCCTGTGTTGCAGCTTTCTGCTGTGTTTTCTCAGTTTAAATAGCTTTGTTCTCCCTTCCAAATGAACTTCACATTTTCCCACATTATACTCCATTTGCAACTTTCTTAACTTATCAATTTTGCTTGTGAATGGTTTAGAGTAATAGAGTATGGAAACAGACTCAATTCGTCCATGCCAATCAGGTTTCCTAAACTGAACTAGTCCCATTTGCCTTTGTTTGGCCTGTATCCCTCTAAACCTTTCCTATCCATGTACCTGTCCAAATGTATTTTACATGTTGTAACTGTATTCGCCTCTACCACTTCCTCTGGCAGCTGTTTCCATACTTACACCACCCTCTGTGTGAAAATATTTCCCCTCTCACCTTAAACCTATGCCCTCTAGTTTTGGAATACCCTACACTGGGGAAAAGATCTTGGCTAGTTACCTTATCTATGCCCCTCATGACTTTATAAACCTCTATAAGGTCACTCCTTGGCCTCCTACACTCTGTGAAAGAAGGCCCAGCCTATCATTATAACTCCATCTTTCCAGTCTTGGTAACATCCTTGTAAATCTTTCTTGCATCCTTTCCAGTTTAATAACATCCTTCCTATAGTAGGACGGCCAGAATTGTACATAGTACTCCACATGTGGCCTTACCAATGTCTTGTACAGCTGTAACATGATATCCCGACTCTTATACTAAGTGCTCTTGACTGATGAAGGAAAGCATGCCAAACACTTTCATCATCACCCTGCCTACTTGTGATGCCACTTTCAAAGAATTATCTACATGCATCCAGTAGGTTTCTAGGTTTGTAATCCCTTTGCAACTTGCCTTTTCACCTATTTTTGCGTGGCCTGCAAGCCTGGTTATATTACAATTGCTTTCTTCTTCCAATTCATTAACATAATTTGTAAACAGTTGTGGTGCCAGCACTGATTGCTGCGGAATTGTGTTCACAGTTTACCAACGTGAAAAAGAGTCAGAGTATGAAAATCTATTCCCAATTGCTGTTTCTTGCCCATGAGACAATTCTGTATCTATGCTAATATTTTACTGTCAACACCATGGGCTCCTATGGCTTATCCTTTTATGAGGTACCTTGTTGAATCCCTTCCGGTAGTCTAAATTAGTCAGACATGATTTCCCTTTCATGAAACCATGCTGACTCTGCTTGATTAGATCATGATTTTCCAAATGTGCTATTATTTCTTGATTATTGATTCCATCATGTTTCCAACAATAGACGTCAGGCTAATTGACCTACAGTTACCCACATTTTGCCTCACTCCCTTTGGAATAGGGGTGTTACATCAGCAGTTTCCAATCCTTTGGTACTTGTACAGAATCCAAGGATTTTTGGAAAATTACAACCAACACATCTGCTATTGCTGGCGGTCCTTACTGAAAACTTTTTTTCTTTTTTGCAAGCATCAGTGAAAATACAAAAAAAAATTCTGCATTCAAGCAAAAGGGAGTACGTTAATTTCATACAACTACCATATTCAATGAAACTTTGTTTCAGAACAAGAAAATATTAGCAATTGAAAATCTACTGTAATTAAACCATGCTTTTCATTACCAAACCATTTCAAAATCTCTTTTCTCAATTTCAAATACCATTTCCCTTTCTCTACTTATCTACACCACTATCTGCCATATTATCAAGAAATTAACTTTAATTAAAATCACATTTCAAATATTTAAATCTGACAAATACTACAGAATATCGGATGTAGAAGTGCAGGTTTTGTTTGCATTCCACCTCTGCTGGCATTTTGCCAGTGGCAGGCTGGTGTGACCTACCTGTCCTGAGAGCTATGGGTCCCTTAAGTTGCCAAATAATGGTTATTTAATGGCCTTTACCCACTATTTTCCCAGTGGCAGATTGGTACTTTACTCTGTGGTGAGGCTGCCCCGTAAAACCTGCCAGCCACATTGCAAATTTGGCTTGAAGCCCCATCCAACTGGGGGCTTCTTCTAGCAGGGGGCCCAATTGATCGTAGCATGCCTGATTGGCCCCAGCAATCCTTGACTTGCCTTACTCCTATACAATGACTGGCCTGGGGCCTACTGGAGTCCCAGATAGTTGCCATCACTTCCACTAATGCTGCTAATAGTGAAAAACTATCACCTCTTCGCTTGTTAGACAACTCTCAATGTGGCCTGGTTTGAAGCACAAACAAATAGTTTGCACAGGCTACAGAATATAGTAAAACAGCATTTTTTTTTTTATTGTTAAGCAGTGCTCCACAGTCAGCCAGCAACAAGATGACATTTGCACTTCATGTTACTGTTTAGGAAACAGGTTGTAGCACATGCTATCAAAATGAAAAGAATTGGGAAGGTTTTCTGTTTTAACTACATAAGGAGAGATATTTTCCCAGGACTATTTTCCTATGTAAGCTGTTACATCAGACTCTCTATAAAGGAAATTCTTCTGGAATCAATAATTGCTCTTTCATGGACAAGTACTCGTTCACAGAATGTCCACAATAATAGGATGAATAGTGTTCAAGACACAGAGTATCTAGGTTACAAGTATCAGAACTGTAATCGTGTCATCATCTTTTAGCAGTGATTCTGATACCTACTGGACCACAATCTGACACTTACTTCACATAAGATCACCATGAACTCAAAGCAAGGACATTCTGGGAGGGCTCATGAATATGCAACCACATGAAAAAGCTGCAGATTCAATCCCAATTTAGGTGCATGTACTCACTGGATTTAAAAATGTTCCACATGTCCTTTAAAACACAGCATTCAGAAACTTAGCTTGCAGCAAACACCTTTTAATTTGTACAGTGTTTTTATAATAGAGGCACAATCTGGATATTAACTTCAATAGCAAAGAATGACCAACAACCATAAAGAAAAAAATTAAATAATGCAAATGTTTTACATTAAAATATGAGGTTAATTTAATGTTAAATATTCAATATACAGAATGCAGAAGGCATTGCCACAAAGTTTAAACAGAATGACAATCCAAAAGATTTACACATAGAAGCATTAATTTCAAAGACTGTTTACAATGTGTTTACAAAAAACATTCATTCAGTGAATGACAGTACGCTATTAGCAAGAAAAGTAAGCATGGTCATAAGACTAAACCCAAATATAGTTATTGGAATCCCACAACAGAAGCATAAGGAGGAAATAATTAACCCAATCTTGTTATTCTCCCTTTTCTATCTCTTTTCCATGCTGCCTTGGAGATGGCAAGGAGATAGTCATGAATCATAAAATGTTTCAAGAATCTCAGTAACATTACTGAGTGGAAAATGCATTGCTAAAGGCACACGATTGTAGACATAAGGCGGGTACGTGGCTTAGTTATTAGAGTTATACCTTTAAGAAAACAGCAATGATGCCAAATCAAAAACAAGCAAATCTTGAAAGTTAATGGCACCAAGTGAACATATATTAACATCACCAGATGTTTGTAAATATTAATATTAATACATTATCGCTTAATGCCTTTGTAATAAAGTTCCATTTCCCCCTCCTTGACCCAATCTCAAGGATTCTCATTTGACACAATTAACAAATGAATAAACAGTCTATTGGAAGTACAGTATTGGCTGTAATTTGGAGTGCTAAAGCAGCCATTTCCATCAGCACAGATGCTTCATTTAGGAGCGATCTAGCCTATTGCTTTGCAAAGGTCATTACGTTTTGCTTAACAGTTCACTTGCTTTGTGAACTCAGGTGCCCTTTTGTGAAAGAACTTGTATAAAAATTGTCAATCATGTTTTCAAACAATTACACTGTAGAGACCAGAAGACACCAAACAAATCTAGTTACTGTTCAGTGCAAACCTGAATGTAGATATATACTAACTATTCCCCTCTAACCCCTGTACAAAAAGGAATAATTTTCGTAGGTCTTGGTCTTATAAAGTTTATTCAGTTACATAAAATGACCATATTCAATCTAATTTTTCAGATTAACATATAGCAACAAAAGTGAGAAACAGATATATTGTTGACCACAATTTTACTTAGTCTCCCTGTCTCATAATAAGAAAAAAATTCAAATAGATTTTATAACCACATCAATTATTTCTTCAGGTTTTGAGATATCACTGTTCCTCCAGCCAGGAAGGACCGTCAGAACCAGGAGCCTTCAACTTGATGTGGAATTGTTTGAGCACTTGTTCAAGTTGTTGCTGGTTGCCAGCAAAGTAGGCAGATACAGCATTGTGAAAGAGGAGGAGCTGGTTGTGCATGACTTTAATCTGTGGAGAGAACAGAATCATCACTATTCAAATCTTCATTAAAAGAAATACAGTCCAAGATTTTGTAAACAGAAAGCACTAACATTTTCTCCTGCTCTTTAAGGCAATAAAAATCCAATATACAGACTTACTGTAGAATGATTAGGAAGTAGACTGTGGCAAACACTAATCAACAAAAATCACTCTGCAAATTTTATTCACAACTATATAAGGATGAAAAACAAAATTTTATGTATTCACATTATATAAATTTTTCAGATAGTGAATAGATTTATGTTGCAATTGTGACTGGGGCTTTTTCTTTGGACATCAGTTTTATGAAGTTTATTCAGTTACAGAAAATGAAACACATTTTCTGAAGAAGGGTCTAGGCCCAAAACGTCAGCCTTCCTGCTCCTCTGATGCTGCTTGGCCTGCTGTGTTCATCCAGCTCTGTACCTTGCTAACCCTACATTAAAAACAATTCAAGTTGAAGGAAAGGATGAATAAGAGGCATTTATATAGTGCCATTCATGACTTCTGGATGTCCCAAAGGCTTTCCCTTTGAAATGGAGTCACTGTTGTAAGGTAGGAAATATAGCAACAAATTTGTGCACAACAAGGTCCCACAAATATTCATGATATTAATTAGTAATAATGACCAGATAATTTGACTTTGAGATGTTGGTTGAGGAATGAATGTTGGCCAGGGCACCAAGTCAATTTAAGTTCTCCTTCAAATCGAGCTTTGGAATCTTCTGCATCAACCCAACAAAGCCTCATTGAGCCAGCACTTCTGGAAATATTGCACTAGATTTTGCGAGCTTTGATTTAGTACTCAAATCTCTACAGAATGACTTACACCCACAATTGTCTGACTCGAAGGCTACCGACTGAGTCATGGTCAATGCTTTCTTTCGAAATTAGACCCTTTTGTCTTCTCTCTAGAATACATCTCAAATATGGCAGACGGCGTATGACCTAGTCCTAGGACTTGACCCTGACTGCCCTAAGCAGTCCATTAGGAGCTAACAACATACTTGTTTTCTCTTCCCTTGCAAAGTGCTTTCAGGTGTTCCAAATATGTGAAAGGCACTATGTAAATACACATTCCTTTTAGAAGGCTATTTGTTTCCATTCTTGTTAACTTCCTGTAAAGTAGTGCGATGTAGATTGGGACCAGGAAGAACGAACATCAAATTTGCTTGTCCTGCACATGTACCTTTATTACAGAGTTGAACTGGCTTGCTTGGCATTAAAACTAAAATAAGCAGAACAGTCTGTTAGATTGTAGATTTATAAAATATTTTACTCCACCTTATGGAACCCCTCTTGTCCAATTCTAGCCCATTCTACCACTCACCATACACATAACAATGGCACTGCTGGTATATCCAGGAATGTGCTGGCTTTCCTGATGTTGACGCCATCTTCAAAGGCCAGTGCACAGACATACAAGCACCAAGAATCTAAAGCTGCCCTGCACAGTTCCTGACAATTGCTCTGGGCATGTCAGGGAAGGGAAAATTAGAGCCTCACTTTGAAGGCAAGGGTCTAGAAGCCTCGGTAGTCATGGTGGAGGAGTAGCAGTATATCCATTTCTCACAAGGACAGCAATGGGGGCACGGCACCAGACCATGCCAGCCTGGTCCAAGGTTGTCACCCGGGTCAATACCATCTCAGCTGAAGTCCATCATCCTTGACATGACTAAGCACTGTGGATAACCACAAGCCTCCTGGCCTTGTGGTTGCAGTAAACAGCACAGCAATACACCAGTACTATTGGCCTGGTATCTCTGGCTGAAGGGAAAGGCAATGGCATGGATGTGGTGAGCATCCAGAAAGGTTTGAAGAGAGTAAGTGTTAAGAGAATAAGTAAAACAGTTTCGAAATGCAGTCTGGTTTAATCCATGAGTTGGGAGCATACACTGAATGCAAGGTGTCTTTGTTGCTGCATTACAATTATAACTGCCATTGTGGCCTACGGACCAACAGGAATGTACTGTAAGTGGATCGGAGAACAGCCGTGAGAGTCCTTAGAAGCTAGCCAGTGTCTGTGAAAATGGGGCACGCGTGGTCAGTGCCCAAGCAGCATGCTCTGAGAAGTTGGTGCCTGGCGTTCAACATAAAAACCCTTTGGAGCACGCAGCGAGCTGAAGTCACCAGGTACCTCCTTGACTTCCAAATTGAGAATTCTTAGCATTTAGCTTTCTTGTGGTCAGTGGTGCGATAGAATGCTGCACAATTAATGGAGCGAGATATGGAATTAATAACATCATTTACAAATAATAAGCCCCCTTAATACGCAACTTGCAGCTGCCTAGCAAGAATTGTGCCTCGATGCCTAGAACTTGAAGTATGCAAATTGTTCCTGACACCAAGATGGGCCTCACCAAGCTTCTTATGCAAATCTGCCATATTTCTCACTGTAGTCCACATCATTCAGGCCCCAATAGATTCTATCCATAGAGCTATAGTGAGTCTGGAGGACAGGAACAGGCTTTCCGACCTAATTGATGTATGCTTCACTCTTACCTCTTCTTATCTCTCTCCAGCAAGCCCTATCAGCACATACTGCTATTCTTTTCTCCTCATTTAGTTGCAAATATAGCTAGGCTAGTTATTCTCAACTTCTCCGTATAGTAATGAGTTCCACATAACCAGCCACTCTTAAGGAGGTTTCTGCTGAATTCCCCATTAGGTTTATTAGTAATAACGTTATATTTATGATCCGATCTAAGCCATAGCACAGAGGGGTTGGAAACGGTAGAATCCCTCGGGCTAGTGCTTTACAAAGAATGTGAATCAAGTATATAGAAAATACATGAGGATCCTGAATGAGACTGTCTGTCATTTCCAATTGGTAATGTTTTGCCGTTTGGGCTGTGTACTTAATATGGGATGTATTTTGGAATATTAAAACTATTACAATTATATTGAGAGAAACGTGCTGTAAGGGGATAAGTGAACTTTACGGCAAATTCTACAATATTCCTGCAAAAATGTTCTGTAATGTATTTTTCCAACATTTATGAATAAAGTACATTTTTGGGAAAAAAAATTTTCTTCCACATCTACACTATTGTTCCCTCTCATAATTATAAAGGTCTCTATGGGTCACTCCTCAGTCCATTTAGCCTTTCCTAATAAGCATATTCTCTCAGCTTAAAATCAAAGGAGGCTGCCACTTGACCCATTAATCTCTGCCAGTTGCTAATCTTCCCTGTATCTTTTCTTGCAAGTTTCTCTCTTCAAATGTTTATTCAAGTACCTTGGAAAGCCATAGGTGAATCTACTGCCACCACCCTTTCAGGTAGGGCATTTGTTTGGGTATCACCTTCATAAATCTAATTTGTATCTTCTCCATCCTTTACAATATGAAGATGAGAATTGTGCACAATATTCCAAACGTTATATAGAATGAGTTTTAATACAAGTTTAACATAATCACTGCTTTTCAATGTTATCCCCCTAGAAATAAACCCTAGTTCTTCATTTGCCATTTTTATAGCCATATTAACTTGTTGCTATTTTTAATGACTTGTGTATTTCTGTTCTAAGATTTACTTCCCATTTAGACTCTGAATATTCAAAATGCATAATCTTACACTTATTTATAATAGTTTATGCTGAATTAATTTATCAACTGCACATTCATTTTTCAGGTTATCAATGTCTTATTGTGTTGTATTGCATTCTTCCTCAGTATTAATGACACACCTAAACTATTGTTGTCAGCAAATTTTGAAACTTTACTGTTGATTCCAGAGTCCAAGTCATTTATACGAGTGTTAAAAAAGTGGTCCCAGCCCTGATCTTTGCAGAACACTTCTTCCCAACTTTTGGTAGTATGAGTGGCTACTTTTAACCATTATGCTGTTTTCTGTTTTGTAGCTAGCTTACCATTCACTGCGCTACTTGTTCCAGGAAAGCTTACATACTGACCTTAGTCATGAGTTTGCAACTGGGCACTTCATCAAAAATCTTTTGGTTTGTATTCATTCATGAAACATGGGTGTCACTGGTGGGCCAACATTTATTGCCTGCCCCAGTTGCCCTTGAGAAGGTGGTGGTGAGCTGCCTTCTTGAACCATGGCAGTCCACATGCTGTGGATAGACCCACAATACTGTTTGGGAGGGAATTCAGAATTCTAACCTAGCGACATGAAGGAACAAGGATATATTTCCAAGTCAGGATGGTGAGTGGCTTGGAGAGGAACTTGTGGGATGGTGGTGTTCCCATGTATATTCTACCCTTGTCCTTCTAGATGGAAGTGCTTGTGCATTTGGAAGGCGCTGTCTAAGGATCTTTGGTGAATTTCTGTAGGGATTCTTGTAGATATTGGTGGTGGATGGAGCAGATGTTTGTGGATATGGTGCCAATCAAACAGGCTGCTTTGTCTTGCATGGTGTTAAGTTTCTTGAGTGTTGTTGAATCTGCACTCATCTAGGAAAGTGGGAAGTATGCCATCAGATTCCTGACTTGTGCCTTGTTGAAGATGGACAGGTTTTGGGGAGTCAGGATGTGAGTTATTCGCTGCAGTATTCCCAGCCTGACCTGCTCTTGTAGCCACTGTGTTTATGTGGCAAGTGCAATTCAGTTTCTGGTCAATGCTAACTTGTTAATAGTAGGGGATTCAGTGATGGTAACACCACTGGATGTGAAGGGAGGATGGTTAGATTATTTCTTATTGGAGACAGTCATTGCCGGGTATTTGTGTGGCATGAAGGTTACTTATATTACATCTACAATATTATCCTCGTTTACTTTTTTTCTAGCATTCTTAGAATTCAACAAGGTTCATCAAGCATGACTTTCCCTTTTAAAATTCATGCTATTCCATATTTCAGTCTCCATAATTGTTTATCAATTGTACCTTTGAATAAAAACTCCCGAATCCTTCCTATTATCAGCATTAAGCTACCTACAATCCTCAGACCGGCTTTATTTTTCTTTATAACTAAAGGGATAACAACAGTTGTTTGCCGGTCCTCTTTTTCTGACGTGTGTGTGTGCATGTGTGCATATGTTCATTAGAAAAGGACAGGAAGACAGCCAATGTTAAAAGAAAAATACAAAACAGACTGCAACCAACCAGCTCAAGAGACAGAAATGTACATTTCAAACACTACAATTGTATTTGAAGATCTAACTCTGGCATTCAAGTCTGCCATTACAATCAGAAATCATTCAGTAGTGTTCAATGTTACATTACAGCCCAGAATAAGTTGAGTCTACCTCTATCTTCATTACCATTTTAAGTTTGTTCCCAAAGCACTGAACAAATGTAATCTTAAAGTGATTTGGCTAGAGTCTTATATGTTACAGTCTGGTGTAGATATGCTTCCAGTTCAAAAAAGCATGTTGCAGTGCTTCAGTTACAACAAGTGCAACACCATTCTTGTCATCTTCTAGCAATCCTGAATATAGCATGGTAGCTTTTTCCTTTGAAATTCTTGTTAGTCACGTCCTGGCCAATGGTATTAACAAATGTCCAACATTTTAATTGAGTAATCAATCAGTCATCTTGTTGATAAATGGAATATGGTAAACTGGCAACAGTTACCAAACTGAGTCTTTTCGTAAACCTTGAATGGACAGCTCTCCAGATAATCCTAGAACACTACATCTTTGAGTTTCAGATTCTATATAAAGTCAAGTTTGACACTGAAGGGTTTCTAGCTCTTTGCACTATTCTTTATTCCTTCATGTAGCTATGAACCAGCAGGCTGTGGTTAGTGCTAACGGGGGGACCATACTGGTAGATCAATACCAGTATCTCTTAACAATAAGATCAGATCGCTTCCTAAAAGTTCAGGTTGTACAGGAAATACTTGGATTATTTTTTAATACAGCACATACTTCAAAGTTAATAGTTCACCAACAAATAACGCATGTTCAATGGGATATGTTTAATACTCAACAGAATTGGCAGAAACATATCCAATTTAACTTTAGTGCATTGAGGCATACAGGAGAAGGTTAATTCTGGGTATGGATTACTGTCTTGTGAGGATTCTTATGGAACTTGACAGGATAGGTGTGGAAAGGTGTTGCCCATTTAAGACAGAGATGTTTTCTCTCTTAGACGGTAGTGAATCTATGGAATTCTTTACTGCGGAGGGCTGTTGATGCTGGGTCATCAAGCACATGCAAGGCTGAGGTAGATTTTTAATCAGTAATGTTATCAAGGGTGACAGGGAGGAAGGAGGAAAGTGGAGTTAAGGATAATCAAATCAGCTATGATCTTATTGAATAGCACAGCAGACTCAATGCCTACTTCTGCATTGTATGGTTTAAACTTGTCACACTGCAATTGACCCTCCCAACTGTAGCAGCACTACAGGACCTTAGTTTTGCACCTCCTAGCAGTGCTGAAACTCCTATGGTCTATCCAGTGCTACTTCTGCTTCCCAAATTGCTTTGGATTTGTTATTCGACTAGATAGATAACGCATGATGAAAGTATAATACAAGAACAATGGGATCTGAATTATATTTGTGTGTGCTGGTTTAGCTAAACCTTTCCTTGAAGCCACATTACTACATAACCTCATTCAGTCATGTGCAGTAACACATAAGATTAACTAGGCTTTTTCACAATACCTTGTTTTCATCCAGAAACTTCAGTTTGACTGATACACTTCCTCGAAGCTTGTCAAATTTTTCCTTGTGAATCTGGAACTGTTGCTGAGACTGCTCAATTTTTGGAATTGTAACGGCATCGCGAGGGCCAAGGTTCAGTTCCTCTAAATCAGTTCGGTATGCATCATACTCTATCCTGCAGCACAAATCATAGAACAACATAAATCGTATAAATTACCATTTCAAATTAATGACATTGAATTAAAGCAGTGACTGAAAGGAATCTTTTTCTCAGGATATCAGAGACAATACATGAAGGTACATTTTGCAATATATTCCGTATGATCACAGGATATGCAGAATTGTATGCTATAAGGATCAAAAAAACAAAAACACATCTCAAATATACAAAAGGTTTCATCACCTCAGAGATAGCAGGAGCTTATTTTTTAATTATACTATGGCATTAATGAGTGAACTTTCTACATGACCTTATCAAAATATTGTCCAAGATAACCTGATAATTACAGAAGTGATACATGTCATGCAATATTTTCCTATGCTGTATGAAGTTGGATAGCATGCATTGTACAATCTGTTCATACTTCAGTATGACTTAGTTCAATTTCTCTTATTGTTCCAGTGCTGATACTTACATCATAAAAGGTGTCACCATTGCCTCCAGAGAAAGACTGCTGCTCACAAAGCAGTGTGTGTTTAATTATAATTTCAATTCTTACAAAAAAGAGAGGACAAGTTGTGCTTGTTTACAATAGCTGCCAGGTCTCACGCTTCAAAGCAATGATGTAACATAGTCACTGAGTTCAGATAACTTTGCAAAGACATTTGAAACTCTAGATTTCACTGCAGCATTGTAGCTCTCCAGTCAGCTTCATATTCAACAAATCATACAAAAAAATTGCAAGGGTTAACAAGTTATTTATTTGTGGATTACTGTTGAAAATGAGACTCCCTAAATGGTTTAGCATGTTTGTTCAGTGAGTAAGTGACCTTTACAGAGAAGAGAAATTCCAGATTCTATGCTGAATTAGTAGACTGCAGGTGGACTTGTAGGAGAAGCATGTTAGCGCTTTGAGCTAACGGGGGCTGGGAGGAAGAGAAGAAAAGATTAGCCAGAAACACCGTCTCTTATCTCAATTCAGTGAACCCCATTAAAAACTATACAGATGTTGTCTTTGGTTCAGCTGCTAAAGTGTGTGTTTACAGAATACTTTGACGTAAGAAAAATCCTAGAGTATTTCACAGAGGCTTCAGGAAAGTGCCTGCCCACAAACAGTAAAACTAGAATGCTCAAAAGCATGGTCAAACATTTGACAGATTCTTGAAGGGAGGAACAGAGGAGGGCCAAGAAGAGAGTACAGCAGAATGTGGGGCCTAGCTTGAGGCACATAGAGTTGGGGAGGAAATGGAACGCAAAGGAGGTCAGAATCAGAGAAAGAAATAAAAACAGAAAATTCTGGAAATACTCAACAGGTCAGGTAATATTTGCGGGGAGAGAAAGTGTTCATTTTTCAGGTTGATGAACATATAACAGAACGAGGAAAAAGTAGAGATTTAATAGGTTTTGGGGTGTGGATAGGGCAAGGACAATGAAAGGCCTCTGACAGAAGGGAACACAGGCGAGTTGAAAAACAGAAGACCTAATGTACAGTGCTAAAAGAAATGTTAAAACGATGATGGGGTATAGAAACAAACAAAGAAACAAAAATATACTTATAACAAATGCATTGCTGCCTGAATGTAAAAATAACAGAAAAACCAAAATGTGCAACATGGAGGTGGAAAGAGATTTACAGTCCTAAATTGAATGAGGAAAAAGGCTCAGGTTAGGGGTGGTGTCAGGCTGAAGTCAGTCATGGAGGTCAGAAACCTTTAAGATATTTAAAGAAAAGAATAAGCATTTTAAATTTATGGCATTCAGTAACAAAGAACAGATAATGTGATTTGCAAGAAGAAAGTTGAAAGAAGTGGTGGATAAAAAGACCCACCATCAGCATAAATACTGCCTCTTTCAAAGTGCTACCAGTTCTGTTGGATAACTGGGCTCGAAACTTTAACTGTTTTTTTCTCCACAGATGCTGCAAGATACGCGGAGTTTCTCCAGCGATTTTTGTCCTTTTTTTTGTTTCAGATGTCCAGCATGTGCAGTTTTTTGCTTTATTTTAATGGAGATAATTCAGGTTGGAAGATCAGCTTGGTCAAATAAAATGCTAAAGTGGTGAAACATCTGTTTTATACTAGTCAGGGTATGGGGTAAATATGTGGCAATTATGCAAAATTTGCGAGGCCAAAGCCTATTTTCTCTTAACCTAAGGAGAACTATAGTTTACCAGAGACAAATATCAGACAAACAGTATGACAACATACAGGGTTGAAAACAAAAAAGGTGGAAATCGCAGCAGGTCAGGCAGCATCCATAATAAGAGAGTAAGTTAATATTTTGAGTCTAGATGATTCATCATCAGAGCTGATGTGAAGTGTGGAGGGGGCAGCACTTATGCAACAGTGGGTGGGGGGGGGGGGGGGGGGGGGGCATGTGGCAGGGTGAATGCTGTGACTATATACAGGAATTGGAGGAGTCAAGAGATATAGACAAATTACATGAGTTACACATGGGTCTTGTGTCGAGATGATGTCTCCAAGGGGCAAGTAGATAAGGAAGAGGAATATCATGATTATGGAATCATGGGGACTTTCAAAGCAACAGCGTAAGGTGGGAAGTGAAACCTTTGCCAGAAAGTCTCTGCATATGCTCAGATATCAAAGAAGAAAGTTCAAGTGATCTGAGGAATGAGGTTTTTTCACAGTAAATTTAGAATGAATTGGGATTGAAAATAAGATGGATTGAGAAATACAAAGAAGTCGTCAAAGCAGAAATTCAGACCATAACACAGAGGCCATGGGAGATAGGAAGAATGAGAGATAGTTGTGATCAAGGATAAGAACATTTGTTTGCAGGGAGAGATACAGGAAGGACAGCAAAAGACGCAATTCACAGTGGTTGAAAAATCAGAAGTGCAGAGGACAAGGAAAATATCTTGGACAAATGCTGGAGCTGAGAGGGGTGGGAGCAGGCAGTAATTTTTTAAATGGAGGGGTGAGAACAGGTGAAATGTTTGAAAGGAGAAGTAGTAATATGGAGGAGTAATCGTAAAATAGGTGAACGTCTGGCTTGGTACTAAGAACCACACTATCACTGACATAGTTAACAGCAATGATGACAGGGAAGATCAGTCAATGAGCTGCAAGGTGTCAGTCAATTCCACGATGCCATTAAGCCACACTTGGAGAGAATAAGGTCTTTTGTCACAAATGAACAGACATTCTGGAGGGAAATGTGCATAGATATGGTGATTATTGATTCAACCGAGGGAATGGTTGAGAGTGCAGGGTGACTGTGCTGGAAAGAAATTTATAACATTAACTCCAGGAGACATACTAGGCATGAAGACGAATGAGAACTGAGGTTAGGCAGCTGATTCTTATTTCTAAGGAGATTATAATAGTTACTATCATGGGGTTGTTAGAGAATAATCAGTGAGGCACAAAGGACAACCATAACTTTCTATAATGAGATTCATGCCTGAATAATTGCATAAGTGAATGAAGGCAGGAGTAATGATGGGTTATAGTCGATGAGGGGAATAGTTGAGAATGGGGAAGAGAAAGGTGACATGGCTTGATGTTCAATGATGAGAGGGAGGGTGTCAGAAGAACCCAAGGAGAATTGAAAAAAGATCAGAACAGGATCAAACATATGATAAACCTTACATAGGACGCTAATGATATTCACTTTGAAGACCCACATGCAAATATCGAACAATAGGCGAGGTACTAGGGAGTTCTCTGTGCCAATTCAGCCATATACAGAAGAGTTGATCCATTCAGTGGGGTAGTTGGGTCGAAAATAGCAAAGGGGGAGAAAAATTAAAAGTAACAACTTTACTGATTGGAAATTGAAGATTTAAAATTATACATGCATTGAGGAAATACATACATTCATAACATGGGAAAGTTAAACAATTTTTAGAACACAAGACTTAATGGTCATGTCCGACACTGAGACAACAGGACTAATTCAAAGCTACCACAGATAACTTAAACAAAAGTGACAATCATACATGTACTCAGTCAACATTAACAGTGTCTTGTACAAAACACTGCTTGATCTGTATCATCCTTTTTGCTGAAGACTGAAGTACACATCTTGTGTTACGACACTGCATTCCAGTTCAGTCTTAAACAAAGTTATACAGGTCATTGCATGTGCATTGACAATGAACATCAAGCAGTAAGGAAGTGCTTTCATATTGAAATGTTTTCTAAAGCTAGTATTTGCTGGCATTGTGTGTGTATTTGGTTAAAAAAAACTGGTGCTGATTACTGAGCTTATTTTTCAGACTTGCAGACTTCATCACAAATAATTCTTTACATGGACATCATCAAGTATCAGCAATGCAGTGCATGGCCAGTGTATATGACATAACATGGGTCAGTAAAAGAACAAGGCCAACAAATTAATTAAATCTCCAAGGTCTAGTGCATTGAGAAACAGAACGGTAATCTTATTTCAGAGGATCAGCTTGAAATTGGAAAACACTCAGAATAATGGAGTAATACAGCATGGAAGCAGACCCTTCAGTCCAAACCGATCCATGCTGACCATGGAGCCCACTCAGCTGGTTCCAATTGCCTGCATTTGGTCCATATCCCTCTAAACCCTTCCCATTCATGTACCTATCCAAATGTTTTTTATGTTATTATTATATCTACCTCAACCACTTCCTCTGACAGGCTATTCCATATATGCACCACTCTCTGCATGAAGAAGTTGCCCCTCAGATCCTTCTTAAATCTTCTCCCTCTCACCTTAAACCTATGTTGTCTGTATGGACTTTAGTAGGGCCTTTGACAAGGTCCTGCATGGCAGGCTAGTCATGAAGGTTAGGTCGCATGGGATCTAGGGAGAGCTAGCTACTTGGATTCCGAACTAGCTTGACGTTAGGAAGCAGAGGGCCACTGGAGTGACTGGAAATTGAAGATTTAAAATTATACACGCATGGAGGAAATACATACATTCATAACATGGGAACATGTCTAGCTTCCAATTCCCCATCCCCGGGAAAAAGACTATATGCATTCATCCTATCCATGCCCCTCATGATTTTATACACCTCAATAAGGTCACCCCTCATTCTCCTACATTCCAAGGAATAAAGCCCTATCCCGGTCAACCTCTCCCTGTGACTCAGGCCCACTAGCCCTGGCAACATCCTTGTAAATCTTCTTTGCACACTTTCCAGTTTAACTATGTCTTTCCTATAACAGGGTGACCAAAATCGCACACAATACTCTTAAGTGCAGCCTCACCAATAACTTATACAACTGTAACATAACATCTCAACTCCTACACTCAGTGCCGCGACCGATGAAGGCCAGCATGCTAAATGCCTTCTTCACCACCCTGTTTACCTGTGACGCTGCTTTCAATGAACTATGAACTTGTACTCCTCGGTCTCTCTGTTCCACAACACTCCTCAGGACCTTACCATTTACTGTACAAGTCCTACCTTGGTTTGACATTCCTAAGTGCAACACCTCACTCTTATCTGTATTGAATTGCATTTGCCAATCCTCAGCCCACTTCTCCATCTGATCAAGATCCCTCTGTAATTTTTGATAACCTTTTTCGCCATCAACTATACCTCCTAATTTTGTATCATCTGCAAGCTTACTAATCATGTCTTGTACATTCACATCCAGGTGATGTAAGTAAATACCAAATAACAAAGGTCCCAGCACTGACTCCAATGGCACACCACTAGTCACAGGCCTCCAGTCTGAGAAACAACTTTCAAGCATCACCCTCTGCTTCCTACCGTCAAGCTAGTTCAGAATCCAAGTATTTGTCCCCCCCAGATCCCATGCGACCTAACCTTCATGACTAGCCTGCCGTGCAGGACCTTGTCAAAGGCCTTACTAAAGTCCATACAGACAACATCCATTGTCCTACCCTCATCTATCCTCTTGGTTTCCTCTTCAAAAAACTCTAAAAAGTTTGTCAGACGTGACTTCCTGTGCACAAATCCATGCTGACTATCCAAATGTTGGTTGATCCTGTCCCTCAGTATCCTCTCCAATAACTTGCTCATCACTGATGTCAGGCTCACTGACCTGTAGTTCCCTGGCTTGTCTTTGCTACTTTTCTTAAACAATGGAACAACATTAGCCACCCTCTAGTCTTCCGGAACTTAACCAGCGGCTAAAGATGAAGCAAAAATCTCTGCAAGGGCCTCTGCAATTTCTTCCCTAGCCTCCCGCAATATCCAATGACATCTTTTATAATATGATTTAAATCCACTTTATCTAGAGTCCACTTCTTCCTAATTAATATATGCTCGTGTATGCATACCAGGAAAAGTCTGCTTTTTATAAGTTGGTAGCAAAATGCACAATCTGTGAAATCAAGTTCTACGTGTGTCATGGGAGCAAGTGAATATATATTTTTCTGAATTTCAACAATACCCACATAAACTAAGTAAAAGTACTATATTGTTTTGGAAACAGCAGCTGTAAAATTGTCAATTAATATTCTATCAAAATTGCACCATTACAAATGTAATACCTGGCATTTTCATAATGTTTTACTGCGATTAACGTGTCTTCAATTGTTTTGTTCACCAAAGTATTTACGCTGGCAATGAAAAAATTAATTGCTCCAAGAAGCGTCTCCCCATTTTTACACAGCAACTTCTGGGTTTCAGCATTATATCCAAACTCTTCCTGAAATATAAAGAGAATGAAATTCGCATGTATACAAAAAGACCAACAGAAGGCTCCATTAAATACCTAAACAGAGTACATCAATTAATATAAATCAGAGCTTTGTCATGTTAAAATTTTAGCTGAACACACTAAAGAATACAAGATATAGATTACAGTAGTTACACTTTCGAACATTTCTCTTATTGATTCCACTGAAGCATATGGCTTTTGTGTAAAGGTAAGGGTGGGGGCAAAGTTCCTAGTCAGATAGAAACCAGATGACTACAGAAATAAAAACAAAGTGCTGGAGAAATTCAACGAGTCTGGCAACATCTGTGGAGACAGAAAGAGAGTAAATGTTTTGAGTCTCATAGACTCAGGTGTTTACAGGACAGAAGGCAGCATTTGGCCCAACTGATCAAGAAAGATCTGACTAGACTAACCTAACCTATTTTCCAGCTCTTCACCCATAGCCCAGAGGCTACAGGAATGCAAGTGAATATTTAATGCTGCTTAAATGTGACGAGAATTTTTGACTCAACTACCCTTTCAGGCAGAAAGTTTCAGATTCCTACAATGCCGAAGTGAAAGCTTTTTACTCAAATCCCCTCTTAGCCTTTTCCACCTTATCTTAAATCAATGCTCCCTGGTTATTGACTCCTTTACCTATGGAAAAAAATGTCTTCCTATCCACCCCATCTGGGTGCCTCAATCTTATGCACCTCTGTCTGGTCCCCTCTCGACCTTCAGTGCTCAAAGGAAAACAATCCCAGCCGACTCAATCTTACCCCATAGCTCAGACCCTTCAGCCCAGGTAGCATTCTAGTAAATCTCCTCAGCACCATCTCTAGTGTAATCTCATCTTTCCCATAATGTGGCGACCAGAACTGTAAACAGTACTCTAATAGCCTAGTCAGTTTATACAGTTCCAGCATATCCTCCCTGTTCTTGAATTCTATGTCAAGGGTTAATGAAGTCAAAGTAATCTCATGTACCTAGTGTATCAAATGTGCTACCTTAAGGCATCTGTGGATATGCACACCTAGGTGTCTCTACCTGCAGTACTTTCCAGGGTCCTACGATTCATAGTGTAATTCTTTGCCTTGTTAGCCCACCTCAACTGCATTACTTCACAATTTTTTGGGTTGAATCCCATTTGCTACTGCTCCACCTCCCTGATACTGTCCCACATTTTACAACTAACGTCCTCAATATTTACCATCCTACCAAATTCCATGTCATCTGTGAATTACTTAATTACACCCCTTACAGTTAAGTGCAAATCAGTAACGCACACCACAGACAGCAAGGCCCCCAGCACTAAGCCCTGTGGAGCCCCACTAGAAATGGACCTCCATTCACAGAAACATTCCTCTACCACTACGTTCTGCTTCCAGTATCTCAGCCAATTTTGCAACCAACATACCACCTTGTGTTGGATCCCATAAATTCAGACTTTCTTGACTAGTTTACCATGAGGGACCTTAGCAAAAGCCATACTGAAATCTATTTAGACCACATTAAATATATTACCTTAATCAACACTTCTGATGATTTCCACTAAACATCTCAACAAATTTGTCAAACACAACCTTCCCTTAACAAATCCATGCTTGATTAAGGAACAAAATCCATGCTTGATTAATCTGTGTTGCTCCACGTGCAGATATATATTGTCCTTCAATTCTTCTTAATAACACCGTCGAAGTTAGACTGATTGGCCTGTAATTTCCTGGTCCATCTCTTCAGTCCCTTTTTTTTTAAAATAATGGAACAATGTTAGCTATCTTCCAGTCCTCTGAGACCTCACTTGTAGCCAGAGAGAATCTGAAAATTAATGCCTAATATCTCCCCAGTCAATGTATATATCTTGTCTGGGCCTGTAGACTTACACTTCTAAGGCTGCTAAACCTGTTAGTACTTAGAGTCATAGATTCATATAGCAAACAGCAAACAGACCGTTCGGTCCAACCAGTCAATGCCAAATGTAATCCCAAACTGAACTAGTCCCACCTGTCTGCTCCTGGCCCATATCCCTCCAAAGCTTTCCTATTCATGTACTTATCCAGCTGTCTTTTAAATGTTGTAACTGTGTCCACATCTACGACTTACACAACAAGTTCATTCCACACACAGACCACCCTGTGTAAAAAAACTGACCCCATGTCTTTTTTAAATATCTCTCCTCACAATCCTCCATCCTCGGGAAAAGACACCCACTCTCTGTGTTAGTTTCTTCTAATATTTCAAAGTCCTTATTCCTGATGTCTATATCAGCGTTTTCCTTTTCCATTGTGAAGACTGACACAAAGTTTTCATTGAGGACTGTGTTCATGTTTTTGGGGTTAACATACAGGTTACATCTATAATCCCTAATGTGCCTACTCTTCGCTAGTTATCTCCTTGCTCTCTATATATTTCAAAAGCCATTTGGGTTTTCCTTTATTTTATTTACCAATACTATTTTAGCGATCCCCCTGCACTTTTTATACACTTCTAGAGACTCTGCCATACTGAGCACTTGGTATTTACCATAAACTTATATTTTTCCCTTAATCCTAGCCTTTATGTCCCTTGACATCCAGGGTTCTCCAGTCTTGGCCATCCCTTGTCTTAATGGGAATTTTTTGGTCCAAGACCCTTATATGTTATATATTTTTGATGTTTGCAAAATCATGAGGGGCATTGATTAGGTGAATAGCAAAGGTCTTTTCCCTAGGGTAGGTGAGTTCAAAACTTGGGGGCATATTTTTAAAGGTGAAAGGAGAAAGATTTAAAAGGGATCTGAGGGGCAACTTTTTCACACAGAGGATGATTCGCGTGGGGAATGAACAGTCAGAGGAATTGGTAGATGCAGGGTCATTTACAACTTTTAAGAGACATTTGGATAGGTACATGAATAGGAAAGGTTTAGAGGGATAAGTGCCAAACGCAGGCAAGTGGGACTAGTTTAGTTTGGGAAACTTGGTCAGCATGGACGAGTTAGATCGTAGGCTCAGTTTCCGTGCTGTGTGACTCTATTTCCTCCTTGAATGCCTACCACTGCTATGACACAGTTTTGTCTACACGTAATTACCCCACTCCACTTTGGCCCATCCTTATCCTTTTTCCATAATTATCCTAAATCTAACTGTATTATGGTATCTATCTTCAATGCTCCTCTACTGATATGCCCTCCATTTGACTGGGCTCATTTCCAAACTGCTCTTCCCTTGTTGGGCTTTCTAAATAATGGCTAAGAGAGTCCAATGAATTTTCTTTGGAACTTATTTCACAAATGCTGCAAGACTTACTGATTTTCTCCAACATTTTCTGTTTTTATTTCAGATTTGCAGTATTTTGCTGTTGTTGAGGATGACTACCGTATGTAGAGCTTGGAGGAAGCTCTGGTTTAAACCATGAACTGATTGATACCCAATGAGCAACACGGTAAATAAATGCAAAACTGGAAAAGCACAACAGGTCAGACAGCTTCCGAGGAGCAGGGAAGTAAAGGTTTCAGGCAGAAACCCAAATGTCGCACCTCCTACGGTTACAGGGAAAGGTACCGGGTGTGTTGGAGGGGTTGGTGGGGAGTGTGGAGCTGATGGGGGAGCCACGGAGTGAAAAGCAGACAGGGCTGGGGAGGGGAATATCTTTTTGGTGGTGGGGTCTGATCGTAAGTGGCAGAAATGGCGAAGGATAATGCGTTGTATTCGGAGGTTGGTGGGGTGGTATATGACGACTAAGGGGACTATGTCCTTATTGTTGCTGAGAAGAAGTGTTGGAGGGCAGAAACGTGGCCAATGGGGGAGATGTGGATGAGGGCATCCTTAATAACAGAGGAGGGGAAACTATGGTTCCTAAAGTAGGAGGATATCTGGAAAGTCCTAGAGTAGAACGCCTCATCCTGGGAGCAGACGTGGCAGAGGCGGAGGAATTACGAATATGGGATAGCATTTTTACAGGAGGGTGGGTAAGAGGAGGTGGGTTGAGGTAATTGTGGAAGTCAGTCGTACAAAGAGGCAGTCGTAGCTCAGGCCCATGCAGGTGCCAAGAGCCAGCCCTTTCATTTGTAGGAAGTGGGAGGAATCAAAGGAAAAATGTTTAGGGAAGGACCAGTTCCGCGAAGCGAATGAGAGTGTCGGTGGAAGGGGACTGGTTGGGCCTATGGGAGAGGAATAAGTGGAGGGCTTTTAGGCCATCTGCATGGGGAATAGAAGTGTACAGGGACTGAACATCCATGAAGAAGGTGAAGTGTTAGGGGCAGGGGAACTGAAAGTTTTGGAAAAGGTGGAGGGTGTAGATTGTGTCATAAATGTTGGTGGGGAGCTCCTGGACCAAAGGGAAGAGAACAGAGTCGAAGTAGGAGGAGATGAGCTCGGTGGGGCAGGAGCAGGCCGAGACAATGGGTCGACCAGGGCAGTTGGGTTTATGGGTTTGGGGAAGGAGATAGAAATGGACGGTGAGGGATTGGGTAACAATGAAGTTGGAGGCTGTGGATGGGAGGTCAATCAAGGTGATGGGGCAAGGTTGTTGATGGTCTGGGAGAGGCTGGCTTGGTGATCAGAAGTGCGGTCACGATCAAGGGGACGCTAGGAGGTGGTGTCAGAGAGTTGGCGTCTGGCCTCAGTGATGTAGAGGTCAGTTTGCCATACGTACACTGCGGTCCCCCTTTGTCGGTGGGTTTAATGGTGAGGTTGAGTTGGAGCAAAGGGCTCTGCGTTCTGATGGGGGGAGGTTGCAGTAAGTGAGGGGGTGGAGAGATTCAGGCGATTGATGTCACAGCGGCAGTTGGTGATGAAGAGGTTGAGGAAGGTAGGAGGCTGGGAGGGGGATTCTCCTGTGACTCCCTCATCAGCTCCACACTCCCCACCGACCCCTCCACCACACTTGGTACCTTTCCCTGCAACTGCAGGAGGTGCAACACCTGACCCCACACCTCCATTCTCCGTCCAAGGCCCCAAACAATCTTACCAAATCCGACAAAGATTCACCTGCACTTCATCTAACCTCATGTACTGTATTCATTGCCCCCA